ATGGATCCTAAATTGAATAGGCAGCCAATTCCTAATCAGCCCTCTTGTCTGCCTTCAGGTAAAAGTGACAGCGTTCTCGCCATGGCGGACGCCACTCTGGACCACATGGACCACGATGCGTTGTTCCTGTGCCACCTCGAGCCGTCCATCTTCGCTGACCGCCTCTCACCCTATCACGGCTCACCTCCTACGACCTCCTTCTTCAACCCCAATCGTAGCACCCCGCCACCCCGGTTCGGCAACATCCGACGCAGCAGCAGCGCGGGAAGTCAAGACCTGCTCCGCCTCCAAACCAACAACCACCAGGCACACGGCCCCATCCCAAAGATTTCCCGCCTCTCGGCTTTCTTACAGGAAATGGAGAACGACGACGGTCAAGAAGCGCTGCTGAACAACCAGCTCAATGAACAGCGGACGCTGAATGGGCGGCTGTTAGCCAGCGTGACCAATGCTGATAGAGTTAGTAACAACAGGCTGAGCTCTAAAGGACAGGCACATCGCGCTGGAATGGTCAAAGGTCGGTGTTTATTACCTGTAATTATTATTATAAATATTATTAATTATACAGTATTTTCTTAAATTCTATTTTAACTGCTATTGTAGAATACTCTTATTTCCCTTTTCTCTCATATCTGTTTGTTAAATATGAAAATGCGGGATTATTTCTTGGCTGGGAGCAGGAAACTTCAGGAAGTTACTGTTCCCGACCAGGAAAGCCATGGTTCTTGGATTACACACGACATAGAATGCGTTAATAGACATGTTTTGTTACCTTTGGACAGAGCCAGACAAGCTGTTTTCCCCTGTTTCCAGTGTTTATGCTAAGCTAAGCTAACCAGCTGCATATTTACTGTACACTAATGATATGAGAGTGGTTTCGAACTCTTGGCAAGAAAGAAAATGAGCGTATTTTCCCCAACTATCAAACTTTTAAATGGTATTTGAGGGAAATATTTAGATTTTTTAATTTATTAAGAGTGTGTCAAAGTTTCTGGTTTCTTGGCCACTGACATAAAAGCCATAAGTGCTGAAAATGTCAGTTTTGTACAATAAGATAACTTACTTACCCTGAACCTGTCATTTATTGTCTATTACTCCAGCTGCAAGTACTGGAGCCCCCATGCGACAGTCACGCTACCGTCACACCTTCTACCGCCAGCCGTCCTGCACATTCTCCTACTACGGTCGAGTTGGGAGCCACCGCTACCGCTACCGCCGGGCCAACGCCGCTTTTCTCATAAAGCCGTCTCGCAGCATGAACGACCTGTACGAAGTGGAGGCCAGACACAGGCGGAGGAGCAAACAGAGAAACAGGCACCGCAGTGGAAACACTAACTCTTCCAGTGGAGATACAGAGAGCGAAGAGGGAGAGGTGAGCTGCACATGTGACACACTTTCAAGGTTTTGCTGTCGATGGTAACCTGTAACCATGACCACCATCTAGCCCCGTCATTTGTGTCCAATATGTTTGTATGTTGTTTATATCTTGTTTCCTCTCTTTAGGTTGAGACCACCGTGCGGCTGCTGTGGCTCTCCATGCTCAAGATGCCTCCGGAGCTGCTGCGACTGTGCGCCTGTCACCTGCTCACCTGGTTCTCCATCATTGCCGAGGCTGTCTTCTTCACGGACTTCATGGGACAAGTCATCTTCCATGGAGATCCTACCGTACGAGACTCAGACAGACATATAGATATACTATCCCTACATTCAGTTACTTTAATGTCACAATGGCTTGTCTAAAACTGTACAGTGAGACAAGGACAATGTGAAACTAAACTAATTTTAAATGTATTATTTATGATTAATTATTATTTTATTTTATAATTTTGCCTGAAAAATATCATCATCTGTTGTCTGAAGAACAGAAAAAACACCTCCAAAATGACTAAAATAAGCAAATAAATCAAAACCAAACCTAAAATGGTTTCAGTATTTATTTAAAAATAATAGACCACCAGATTAAACCTTGTTTCCAGGATTGTATTTTTGCCAGATTATTTTTGACTTTGTCTCTTATTCTGATCTTCTCATATGTCGTGTTCAACCCTAAACTCTGTCTTAAACCCTATTTTTTTCTCTCTCTCAGGCTCCTGCTAACTCTACTTTGTTGGAAAATTATCACAGAGGAGTTCAGATGGGATGTTGGGGACTGGTCATATATGCCATGACTGCTGCTACATGCTCAGGTATACACACAAGCAACACCTGCTCATAGGAATGCATATTGTCACATGTATACACATCTCCACATTGGGGAAAACAAGCTCACATTTTGGAAGAATAACACGTCTCAACATTAAACTCTGGACTACCCGACCAACCAATCTTCCTTTTTCCAGCCATACTTCAGAAGTACCTCGACAACTTTGACCTGAGCATTAAGGTCATCTACATCCTGGGGACACTTGCATTTTCCATCGGTATGAACCACCGTACAGTTATAGAACGGAATAAAAATAAATGTGAGCAGCTGATAAGTAACTTGTCTTCTCTTTTCTCCCTCCACAGGAACCGCTGTCATGGCAATCTTTCCTAATGTGTACGTTGCCATGGTGATGATCAGCAGCATGGGCATCATCTCCATGAGTATCTCCTATTGCCCTTATGCTCTGCTGGGGCAGTATCACGAAATAAAAGAGGTACAGACATATTCAACTTGAAAATCTTAAGCTGCGTTTTGTAAAGTACAAAAGTACAGCTCAAAGAACCGCTTCTGTTTGATATTGCTAGCAAGCTAAAGATATGTCAGGTAACAATGTGCATAAGGATGAGCTATTACTGTATTTCTATTGAGTTAATATGTAGCTTTCAGTGGCATTCATTAACTGTGACTTCCTCTGCCTCCTGCAGTACATCCAGCACAGTCCTGGTAACTCCCGGAGAGGCTTTGGCATCGACTGCGCTATCTTATCTTGCCAGGTGAGAGTTTGTGTTGTTTTAAGGAAATCTTCGTGCCATTGTCTTACATGTATGCGATAGTATTTAAAAAGAGTGTGTTGTTAATAATCCTTTGTAATTTTGCAGGTGTACATCAGTCAGATCTTGGTGGCTTCAGCTCTGGGCGCTGTAGTGGAAGCTGTCGGCAGTGTCCGTGTCATTCCCATGGTGGCCTCTGGGGGCTCCCTTCTTGGATTCTTCACCGCTTGCTTCCTGGTCATTTACCCAACTCCAAACAGCCGGTAAGAAAACCACCTGGTCTTAAAGCTTGTGTCCACAACAACAACAACAATATCTTGGCAATATCTTTTCCTACAATTCGTTATTAGCTTAACAAATGTGAAGTGATTGTGTAAAGCAACAATCGCTGACATTTTACTCGAATTATCGTCAACTTCCTTGACTTCACCTGGTTCACTCTCAGCGCTCTGTACTGTATGTGTGTAGGGAAAAAGCAGAGGAGAGAGACAGAGAAGCTAGTGCGACCAATACTGTACAATGTGGTAGAGAACTGTCAGCATAGTTTCTTTGCTTTTTTCATTTTCATTTATCTTTAATGATTTCTGTCTGACACATCATAAAGCTCAGCTTAGACATGGTCAGAACAAGCTTCTCCTCCATTTTCTTGGTCACCAGGGTAACAAGTCCCCCATTTAAGGCATGATTACTTACAGTTTGTTGCCTGAAAAGGACCAACAGTGACGACACCAGCAGGTGCAGCACCTTTTTCTCTAAAAAGCCGCATGCTGCGATATCTCTCCTCATTGAGAACAACTCAATGGTGCTCAGAAAACATGTGGACACAAGCTATCAGTCACCTGCTGTCGGTAAAAGAATAGACTGGCTGTCCAGAAGTAACAGATTGTCTACAAGCACCTCTTAAGCTCAGTTGTTGTGACTGTTTTCAGTCTTTAAGTCAAACTAACCAACATGTGTCCCAAATTGTCAAACTATTCCTTTAAGGCCAAAACACTAACGGTTGTGATTTTAATTGTGATTGACAGGGAGGGGGATTCAGCCAAAGCTTCGGAGAAACGGGCCTTGACAACGCTGGAAAATCCCAATAGCAACGAAGTGGCTGTTGCCGTGGCAATAGAGAAACCAAGCTTCCTGAAACTCAACAAGGAGGGCAAGGCCACCACCACCACCACTTCCTGTCACACGGAGAACGAGTCTGCTCTGTGATTGGCCGGCCAAGTGGACAGACGCTTTGCTGCAGAAACGACTAAATTCACTTTTAAAATGGAAACACTTTAAGATGTGCCGCCGTCCTCATCGTGCTGGCGTGAGTTTGTTCCACTCTCGGCGTCCGTTCCTGCTTTGACGGGCTTTTTTTTCTGATTCAGTTGCTAAAGAAAACGACTCAATCTGCCGTGGGACCAGTGTTACACCAGACCAACTTACCGTACACACATAAAAAACCCATTCTGGTCCCAGTGCTGTTTCAGCCATCACCGAAATTCCTTCCACTTAACCCTCACGGACATTTGAGTGATCCGACAGGGTCGTCCACAAGTGAGAAATTCATTGCTCATGGTTTTAAGGAGAAGGTTGTCTCTGTCTCTCAGGGCCTCTAGGAGGTGCTACTGAGCAGCTGCCTGGACAGGAAACTTCAGGGGACTCACACGCATACATACACGCACACAAACCTCTTCATCCGAGGTCAACGCAATCGAATGAACAACTGAAATAATGAACGATGAACATTTGTCCTCGAAGCTGCAAATCATTCAAAAATGCTGAAAATTATTCTTCCTCGCTGTGGAATCGGCTTGATCGAATCTTTGCTCCGTGGTGTGGAAAGCTGATGGATGAGATTGTGTGTGTCTGTTGACTTCTACAGCGGAGGCATCATGTTCACCAAAATAAACCCAACGACATACTCAACTTTGTGGGACTTTTTACAGCACTCACGCGACAGTAGCTTTAAGACTCTGGAGACTTTTGGAAATGTCTAAAACTAAGAGCCCGAAGCCTGGTTCCTGGGGGAAAACGATTGATACTGAGTGCCCAAAATGATTGCAAGTGTTTTTTTTTTTTGGATTCAGCCTTCACTCCAGGGCAAACTTGACAATATTTAAGAGCATGAGCATAAAGTTGCCTGTATATTGAGACTCAAAAAATACAGATTTGTATCGAGTGAAATTCCAGGAAAGAAGGAGCATAGATGCAATATGCGAGTATACAGGGCATTAAAATCCCAAATATTATTTTCATGATTTATTGAGGGCCCAGAATGATGCTTGTGTTTGTTTTGAATAATCAGACTAACCTACATGCTGCATGTTAGAGGAGCAGAGAAGAGAGAAACCAAACCGCAGAGAAAAGAGATGTGGAGTTGTTATCCTTCTCTCTACTTTCTTGCGCAATTTGTTGTTGTTGTTTTTTTAGAAAATGCTATTAGCACGTTGTCACTAACTGCACATTAGCTGAGCCATTGTTGATAGTTAAATAGCATTAGGTTAGAAAAGCGTTGAAGTCCTCTTTGAGTGTGTTGGATTCGTTCGTATTAGGACACCAGCAAGACGGGGCTTCTGCTCCAGTGGATCCAGTAACTGTACCAGTAATTGTCAGAGAATGGGAACCAAGAATATTAGAATGGAGCCTGCATATATTGGAAGAGAAGTTATAGAGAAGTAAGCATCGTGTTTCCAGGGCTTATATAATGTAAGAGAGGCAAAAATGAATCCTGCTAGTGTTGAGTGTTGGAAGCCCGTAATATCAGGTTTAGGCTCGTTACTTGAGCCTCGATGGAGGATGTACGTTCCTGGTTTAAGTGTCTTAGTCATTACATCTGTGTGTTGAATGGATGTTTAGAAGAGGAGAGAGGGATGAGTAGTGGGATGAAAGGAGGACTGGAGAAATGTTTTTTCTTAAAAAAAACTAAACAATTTGGGAAATGCTTTTTTGGGTTTGGTGCTTAGAGATGTACGGTTATACGAGAATACTGACACCACTCTCACGGTTATCTTATGTTAGCATATAGACTGGAAACAGTTGGATGTGGGGGAGGAATGTGTTACATTTGGCTTCTTTTGGCCAGGCTAGCTGTTTTCTGTCTTTATGTTAAGCTACCCTAAGCTATGCTAAGCTAAACACCTCTGGGCAAGAAAGCAAATAAGCATATTTTCCAAAATGTCACAACTTTGAATTGTTCTAAATTTGGAAATGCATGTCTTAATATTACAGTTTGACATTTTTCAAGAGTCCCTGCAGACCCAACAATCTAAAATTTTCATTTCCAGTCATGAAAACTACAACTTCACTGATAGTTGACTTGACAAAATCTAACTTTACCCTCTGAAAAAACTGCAAAATATCAACAATAATCGACCAAATTACAAAAAAAGTTTACCACCCAAAGCCAGCTTGCCCATGACCAGAATATATTACGTCATTATTACATTAAAGTGGTGTAAGACATGCCTCTGATGCTCCAATTTAACAAAATTGCTTTTGCAAAATGGCTGCATCTGCTGTTTGATAAGGGGCAAGCGGTGGCGGTGTGAAGGTGGATGAGGAGGTAAAACTGTTGAGTTTAGATTTACGTTGACCCTGTTTAACATTCACACGCACTAATGAGACTAATCCGAAAAATATATAATCAAAAACAAACGACGGGATACATGCAAGTTGTATAAATTAAAACTTAACTCTTATTAATGCTGATTGATATTGAATATAGATCAAATAATCTTAATCTTTGGAATGTTTTCGATAGCTTGACAATGTAAAAAACATCTTGTAGTTAGACAAAATGAAAGATTTTACTGTGTCGTTCGATTTCTGACAAATCAGAACTTTTGTTGCAATAACGGCCTCCGTTAATCACCCGAGGGGAAGAGGACTGTGCGAGAATCGAGAACAGGGTTGTTTGCGGTGATGAAACAAAAACTCCGGGTGTTTTTTTTTCTTTCCTGTCAGGGGAAAAAGGTTGTGGATTGGTTTTCCTTTCAGCTCAATCAGCTGAAACATGCAAATTGAAAGGAATCGAAATGTAAAATTGCAGTGCGTTAATTTAGTAATGAAAGAATGTTTTATTTTTAGAGTGTATTAAAAGCATTTAGTGAAGAAACTTATTTTTAATCGTTTTTTAGAAGAGAATTCACTCACTGGTGATGTGTTTTTTTTGTTTGTTTTTTTCACTTGGAGATGGGTGCCCTGTCTTTTTAACAAAATAGATTCCTTCCATAACTTCAGGTACATTCAGTCAGTCCCAGAGCAGCAGAGAGAGAGAGGGAGAGGGAGAGAGAGAGAGAATTTTGCTTCCTGTGATTCTGGGACAAAAAAAAAAGAAGCAGGGACGATGACTAAAGATGGAGAGGTACAGATGCCAGAGTTTTTGAATGGCTTCTGTAACCACTAGGGCAATAACATATTCTGGATAAAAATGGACACTTAACTTCAGTTTAAGGACAAACATGAAGCTTAAAAAAAAACTTTGGGTTTGGGAGGTTTGCATGCGACAACAGCAATATGCATGTGTGGAACACCAAAGTATGACTCTGTACAAATCACTCAAGCTCTTTTTCTTTATTGTCCTAATAGGTCAGGGATGTATTTTCTAATGCATGGCTGGATGTTTGTGTCTTTTTGTTTGAACCTAAATGTGTTGAAAAAACTACAAAATCAACATGTACTCTTTAAGCTGAAGCATTGTGCTCGGTCTGGGTCAGTACACTCTTAACAAGCATGTGACTTTTTTTTAAAACTTTTTTTTTGCACATTTACAAGTAAAGTTTCAGACAGCACACATCTTGTTGCTTTTTCAACACGACATACAGGTGGTGGATGGAAGGTGTTGGGGAAAAAACAAGATGCGTGTCATCCCTAGAGACACTCCTTGTTAAAAGTGTAGGCGAGAAAACTCCAGGCCGCGAATACTTGAAGTGCAACTTGAGTGTTTCTGTCTCAATGCCGTGGGAAGTCTTTTGATTTTGGGGGGTTTTACGTTCTTAATGTCCCAAGCCTTTTTACAGCAGACTCTGGAATGTTCAGACAGCAGCTCGGCCTGCTGGGAAGTTGAGTTCTTACCTTTGATTCCATCTTGTGACTTAAATGTTTAAAAAAAAAAAAGAAAGAAAAGTCAATGAATGTGAAGTGATTTCAGCCGAAATCATTTTTGTTTCGATGTTCAGCAAGCTGGGGTGGGGGAGGGTTTCGGATGGGGGGGTCTGACATTGCACAGAACTTGCACATAAGTTAAAAAAAAAAAAACCTAAAAAAAAAAAACAGTAGAAGTTTGTTGCAAAAGGAAGAGAGACAATAACTGTGGATATTTATTTTTTTTAGATTTCTTGTCTATAAAGGACACTTTTCACTTAGTTCCAAAAGAAAACATTAAAACTATTATATTTGCTGTTACAAGAGATGTTACAGAAGTGGACTGGATTGTATGTATGTGTGTGTATGTGAGAGAAAGAGAGAGAGAGAAGTCGTCTCACAGCTGCTCACATGTAAAGCAAAAAGGCAAGAGTGTGTTACAAAATGTCATCTCAGTGTTTGTTTTTTGGTTCTTGTTCTCTGTTCTTTGCAATCACCTGGTTTACACTTAACTCTGGAATCAATGGCTGCAATACCAGAGGTTATTTACGAGTCTTTACTGTTCTGGTGTTTTAACTCAACTAGAAAATGTCTTTTTTTGTGTGTGTACCTAGGCAGAGCCACACATGAGAGTTTGGCCTTTGCACTTTTTCAGTGGCAGCCATGTTGGCTCCACCGTCCTAAACATTGGGGTGAATGTGGCGACGTGGTGATGCTGTTTCATGTTTCCAGCCAGCAGCTGTCAGTGGCAGCAGCGTGGCGGCCATGCAGTTAGTCCAACCTGGCCAGACTCGGTGTGTGTGTGTGCGTGTGTGTGTGGCTCTACCTATAAGTAAACTGTGTGTTAATGACGGAGGAGAGAAATGCCTATATACTTTGATCTTTATAGAGATTAAATCAAGAAGAATACTTAAAGAATGGGAAAGCAAGTATGCGCAGTGTACTATATATAATATGCCTTGTTATTTGAAAAAAAAAGATGTAAATATACGTATTTCTCTTTTAGTTTCTTCTTTTTTGCTGCTATAAAAAAGATGATTATTTTTGTTAGTAGTTTTGTTTTCTATATAAAGACTGTATATATCTCTATGTTCTGTAAATATGCTTGAGCCTTCATATGTAGGACTCTGGATAAACACTGTATGGAACGCACCCTTAAAATCTGTTCAGAAGTAAACCAACAATGACTCCTTTCATTATTCATTTTATTTTTATTTTCATTTTATTTGTTTATTTTTGCAGGGACAGCGCACAGTTATAAGTAATTGCACCAGAGTTAGATAACAGGTAAAGGAAAAAACAACCACAGAATAAAAAAAACACTACATAAACAGAACAATACATGAAAGTCCATCAGTGTGAGATAATAAATATAATAAATATGATAATAAATACAAGGCGGTGACATTTTTGTGCTGACTTCAGCCAGAGCTTCAGGCTGCAAAGAGTCTGTAATGTTTGTGGGTGTGGAATTGCACTTCCTCACTACAGAGAACGCAAATTGACCAAAGTCTGTCTTCTGTACCCAGTAACCCCCAGTAGATGCTCTAGTCCCACCAGCACTGCCACTGCTGGGATTGGCCAGGCATCCTCGAAGACAGTGATTCCCAAAAATATGTGACATACCCAGGGGTCATTAATTTACTCAGTGACAGAAAAGTAGTCCCTTAAGGAAAAAGGTTGGGAAGCACTGTTCTAAGAGGAGGGGATATCATAGGATCATATCAAAATATGAATCAAAAAAGACCTTACAGCACACCAAAAAACTGTGAGGTCTGAGTATTTATGTTTAATATAATATCTATGGAGAGTGTTGCATGTCATCATCCATGTAACTGCTGGTGAAGTAACCTGTAGGTCTGCAGTTTCAGGACTACTTCAACATTTTTCATTTTTGGGGGAAGAGAAAAAAAACCATCTTAACTCAGCATCTTCAAAGCAGTCGACTGGTTTCCCATGATGCTGTGCGGTCAGACCGCTCAGAGAGGAGAGGAAGATAAAAAAAAGATTGCAGATTCAGATTTCTCTCTCATGCACAGGGTTAGGGCCCCTCTCTCTTTCCATACAGAGAAACCCGAGAAGGAACCTGAAACTAGTGTCTGACCCAGACTCATCATGTGACCGCAGGACCAGCTGATGTGTGCGTGTGTGTGTGTGTGTGTGTGTGTGTGTATGTGTGTAACGTACTTATGCAGAGGTATAAACTTACAGGGCCAGAACATTTTGAAGTGAGCTGTAATGACATGCTGCCCCTTTGGAGGGATTAAAGGGAAATACACTCAATTTAATGACTTTAACGCTGTGACTGACGACTCACTCTGTGAAACTGAGCCGCTCTTCTCTAATATGTAATCAATAACAACTAGAACATTTTGAAAGCGAATCCTCTCCACACATATTTACCACATTTTTATCTTCAAAGAAGGTTCAGTACACACATGTAGACTGTGGTTTTGGATCATTTTGAAAGAGAACTGCCTTCTGGTTATGTTGTGTTAGACAAAGTCACTGAAAATGGTTCACATGCTGCTTTAGCAGATAACACACAGAAACACACACGGGTCAACTTTCTTATATTTAACTGGATATTTCAGCTATGTGCCTGAACAGTAAAATTATAAAATTATAATCAGGTATATATTTGATTTGTTGCAGTTCATTATGAATCAGTATTCTGTACCCTGCAGTTACAGACAGTCTGCTGCTGTGGTGAGACACTGTCCTCTGGTGGAACAAATCAAACAAACTGATTCAATCAAGCTGTCTTTAGTGGCTTTCTGTTGTGCAAAATGATTCACTGTAATATGATGTCATACGTAGTGTAACTGTTAGAGTAAATGGGCAGGGGCGTGTCTCAGTAAATCCCATAATTAAAAGTAATTACTGATAAATAGATGTGTGGGAAGAGAGGTATTAAAGCGCATCAACAGCAGCTGTAGAGACACCTCTACTTGTATTATACTGCAAGATTGAATTTATTTACACAGGTTGTAAAATAAAAAACAACAAATTTACATCTAAGAGATAACTACAATTCAGAGAAACGTATTGAAACATAACTGCAAAGAAAAAAAAACATTAGTAAGAAATGATAAGCCAAGAACGATCAGTAGTGGCCATTTGTAGTTTGTTCAGTATTTTCCCAAATTTATGTAAATAAAAAAATAAGAAAAGAGCACAATTATTTTTCTACAACACACAAACGTCTACATTAAAAGTCTCATCTACTCTATGTTATATACTGTGAACCTCCCCTGAACCTCTTCCAGCTAAGTTTTCTGCATGACGCTGACGACACCCTTCCATTTAGACACTTATAAAATTATAAACAAAACCATTAAAGACAGCTGCACTGTACTTGAAAGACTAACTGTCACAAGTGTTTATGTTTCTGAAGAGAGCTTTTGACTCAAGACTCCGTCCCGTTGTTTTGCTCTTAAACTCTTTCTTTTGTCATTACGTAATTTTTCTGAATGTTTTCAACTTCTACTTTGGCTTAACACAGTAATACTGGTAGAATATAGGGAGAAAATGGTGAGACAGTAGCAAACAATAGAGTGTCTGGATCTGCATTTTGGCATTTTAACCTTTATTTGACAGGTTACAGTGAAGATACAGAGGAAACATACAACAAAGGTCACTTGGTGGAACTGAACCGAGGTCGATGCAGTTTTGTGGTTACATTAATTACAGTGAACAATGTCCTAAATGATTTAAAAAAATTTAACGTTTAACTTCAAAAAGAGAAAAAAAACTATATCACATGATGATCACATGTCCAATCCCTGCAACTTTTGCACAAATTTGACCAATCATTGTAGTTTCCCACAAGTTGCTAATTAAGCATTTTAGGCTGCAACAATCCTTAAAAAATGCCACAAAATCCTGTAGGGACTGATTAGAGACACTTCTCAATATAATACAGACCAGTTGAATCACTCTCTGGACCTCAATAATAAACATACAGTTAAATTAATACGTCTCTTACTACTACTACTGTTCAAGATCTTAGGAAAACATTTTTTTTTTATCTTTTTAACATCACAATTTAATAAAGCCTGTGGTCTCTCATACAAGCTCATCAGTATCCTTTTGTGGTCCAGTATTTGTTCTCATTAGTCTCAGGACAACATCCAAGCAAGGTAAGGGGGACGGAAAGATGAGAGATAAAGGGATGAGGATGGATGAAAGGAGGCCGCCACTGAAGTGTTTGTTTTTTGTTTATCATGAAGAGAAGTTTGCAGTGTATACTTGTGTTCATTTCAGTTTTTTTGATGTCTTAATTTAATTAATTTAGTTCCTTTACAGCCTCTCAATCTCTCTCTGTATCTGTTCCATCCATCACTCTTGGTGAGTCTCTGGACTGCTCCATCCACAGCTGCTGAGGGGGTCACCTGTCTTTTAAGTGGACTGTTTCATGTTGGCCACAGAGAGTGGAGTGCTGGTGAAGGTAAGTGTGGCCACGCTGTGAGCTATTGCCAGTGCTGTACCTGGATATTTATTCACTGAATTCCTTTCCCCTTCTCCCCCACTTGTGTGCCCTGCCTCGCCGTCCCCCTCCCTCGCTCCCCTCCTCCTCGTCCTCCACACTCTCTTGAAGCTGTCTGTCACAAAGCAGTAAACCACTGGATCCAGGCAGCTGTTCAGGCTGCTCAAGGTAACTGTGATGTGATAGGCAAGTACCTGCCCCGCACCCTGCCCTAGCCCTTCCTCTCCGACTTTGACCCTGAAGTAAACCAGCACCTGCCGGATGTGGAACGGTGTAAAGCAGATGGTGAAGACCACCAGGACGGTGGCCAGCAGTCTGACAGCACGTGTCCTCCTCGCCCGGCTCTGCTGGGGCATCAGGCCGTGGCTGGAGGAGAGAAAACAGGCAACGCGCAGAGTGAAGCCCACCACGGCCAGCAGGGGGAGGAGGAACTCCAGGATGGTGAGGTAGAAGAGGGCAGGGAGGAGCACACAGGAGGAGCTGAACTCCAACGCTGTGGTCTGTAGACAGCAGGAGAGAGAGCCCAACACATCAAGTCTTCCAGTGCTTGTTCTACTTTAAGTTATAATACTCAACATTTCCACAAGTCTGGTTTGCTTCTATGCAATGCAGTCTAAAGTCACACAACACACGAAAGTAATATATAACTTTACTTAATTACTTCTTGTAGACAGACATTTGTTACATGACTTTTATGCTACTCTGCAACATTGCCTCCAAATATTTAGCGACTTCAGTGTTGGAGTTGAAGGAAGCTATTGTTATCATCATGTAATGTAATATGTGAGTATTTCACACAAAAAAAGACCAAATTTAAGTTAACTTTTGTGTAACCAACATATTTTTTCTTTCTTATTTCTTATATCATCTTGTAATCCCTTTAGATTAACATTGGGAGCCCTTGTGGGGTACCAACCCACAGGTTGGAAACCACTGTCCTAGCCAAGTCACAGCTTCACAGTTGCTGTTTTAAACACATGGTGACCTATTTAGTAGGGAATTTTTGGGCCTGATGTGGGCCTCCCAGGCTGCGACTCCTTCTAGTCACTGTAACTCTCCCAACAAGCTCTACTAAACATTTTACATCATAAATAGGTCTTTAGGGTTAAGTTTACACTGTTTAGGGTTTGCCAATCGTACCAAATTCCCCTGAACAGACCTAGAAGATCTTTCCTTGGAAACATCCTCAGCTAAAATGAAGCAGTGTGCATTTCCAAATATACAAACACCTTTTTGTTTTATTATTATTACACTGAATACATGTGAAGTTGGCATAGGCAGTAGATACCCACTATCTAATTTAAAGATATTATGTGTAATTCTGGATTAGAGAAAGTTATATTTTTAACAGGGTTAGGGTTGGTTAAACAAAAGGTCTATGTCTGTAGGGATACTTTCCATAATGTTGTCAGACAAAATCTGAGCCTGTCAATGGCAAAAACAAGCACTTTTAGTGGACGTACTTTCACTGACACATTTAGGATTAGCTACGTGACCTCCATTGGAGCCCGTTTTGTGAAACTTTTCACAGCTTTCGATCAAACCAGCATTGGTGATTATTGAAAGACAACAACGGTTTAAGTTTTTTTTTTTGTGTGTGGGTTTTATGGTCATCTGCTAGATAAAATTACTGGTTTTGACAATGGATTTTGGTTGGCTGTAGTGCCTAGTTGTATGCTGGTGCTCTA